ATACATATATAATGGAATTAAAAAAGATATATACTAGAACTACCAGTAAAAAGAAACGCAAAACTGAATTAAACGAATTAGATGATAAATTTATTCTTAATAGTTATCCAAAAATCCTTTTAAAAAACTGGCATACACAATACTACAATAATAGATTTATAACAAAAAATAAGAAAGATAAAAATTACAAACCCTTCCCTTACATAGCTGATATTTATAATAATAGCTCTAAATGCCTTAAAAAAGACAATATAATTTTGGCCCCATCTTTGACCAATAAAATTTCAAATAAAATCTCAAATAAATTAGGAAAATACAAAACCAATACTGATAAATTGAAAAAAACTGGAACTGTTTACAAAATTAATTGCAACTGTCAAAATCCTAAAGAATACATAGGTGAAACGGGTCGAACTTTGGAATTACGGATAAAAGAACATGAAGCTGCCATACGGTTAAAACATGATAATTCACCTTGGTATAACCACATCAAAAATAGTAACTGCAAAATAGATAGAAATAATATTAAAATCCTACACTGTGAGAAAAATATATATAAACGTAAATTCAAAGAACATATAGAAATAATGAAATACAGTGGTAATAATTTAATAAACATTTCCAATGGCATGCAAATCGACCAGCAATGGTATAACATGATAGGGGGCGCAACAAGTCAATAGTTTATATTTCTAAGATTATACATTGTCGTGAAAATTTTATTGTATGTTGAACCTTTTTAAAGTTTATACAACGTATACTACTCTGTTATTGTTGTGACACTTTTAAAGAAAAACATGTATGTATTTTTTTTAGTAAATATTTTTTTAAAGGAAAAAATTTGTTATAAATAAGTGATTTAAAATGTTACTAATAATTATAATTTGTAATTAGTTGTGTAGCATAATGGTACGGATTTCGATGTAAAACACCCTTAAGAGAAAATTATAAATTTGAAAACATTGTAAATTGATAGTACAAGTACTGTAAAAAAGATGAAAGAACATGTGGGAAATCTTAAGGTATTATAAAGTGTCTTTTTATGTCTTGTAAGCATTTTCTACTATAAAGTTGTTTTGTGTAAATTCAATATGAATTTGTTTTGTAGCACTGAAGAGGGGCAGGAAAATTAAACTTGCCCGAAATGCATATGTGAAAAACAATAAAGGAGATTTTTAACCTGTAGAGCTGTGAGAAAGTCTACCGAAATTTTGTTCGGATTGAAGAGACATTTACCTATATAAGGCTAGGATTTTACTATAAAAATTAAATTCTAATACTACGAATACCTCGAATATCGCACCATACGTGCAGTCATAGTGGCGAATTCAGAAATATCCAAAGGGGAAAGCTATCTCATAAATTAGGCCAAAAATATTGGAATAATTAACAAATACCTTTTCTTAACATATGCACTTGCATTGCATTGCAGATTAGACCGATAAATTAAATTTGCCATCATAAATGCTTTTAAAAATATTTCGAAGTTCGAACAAATAAATTAAAAACTTTGTGTGTATGTGTGTCAATGGTATATTTTTGTATTCCTCATGACATGCAGACAGAGCCTCTTCGCCACATCTGGTTTAATTTGTAACAAGAAAAAAAAACAGACTGCATCCTGGATGTGTTTGATTCTCGTTTCTTAAGTAAAAATGTACAGTAGATGAGAACGAGAACAATTATTATTTAATCTATTATAATTGAGGTAAGAATACATAAAAAAAAGTTAGTTTAAAACTCCAGATCAGAATTAAAAGTTTGACTTTCATTTCTTAACATTTAATAAATTGNCATAAATACAACACGGTTTCGACAACAACAACAGAATTATTGGAAATTGAAACGGCAGTTGACATCAAAATAAGAAGATACTAACTGAATAAAGATTGAAACTTGCCTAGTGTTGAAGAAAAGTCACTTCATTGTGCCAGTATACAATACATAAATACAACACGGTTTCGACAACAACAACAGAATTATTGGAAATTGAAATGGCAGTTGACATCAAAATAAGAAGATACTAACTGAATAAAGATTGAAACTTGCCAAGTGTTGAAGAAAAGTCACTTCATTGTGCCAGTATACAATACATAAATACAACACGGTTTCGACAACAACAACAATTTTGTATGTTATACTTTGATGTGTTCTTTATGTTCACAGATAGTGTGATTCATTTTGAAAAAGCTTGCATATTAACATTCGTATGAATCAGATCCTTCTCTTACCTGTTAACCCTGTTTCCACTCTTTTTTCTACATGTGAACAGTGCAAGGAACAAAAAAGTACAAGGAAAAAGTAAAGCAGAATATCAATAGCCAGTAGAAAGTGAAGATGGTTGCCACATTGATAGATGCACAGATGCAACAAAACCATATAAAATTTCAGTTGCTAACAATATGTAAACATACCACTATATTATGAAACTTTCAAGATTAAAGCCAAACAATCTGCCAAATTATTGGACTTTGTTAATGACTAATTACCATTTGACTAGAGGTAGGTAAATATGCAGTCATCTTGTATTAATTTTAATAATTTCAATAAAGATGGCAGCATATTTGTCAACCTCTAGTCAAATTAACTGGTAACTAATCATTAACACAGCCACAAAAATAGTTCAATAATAATTTTGCATTAATTAATTAAATTGGATGATGAGTTGCTGTTATTATAAACTTTCTAGATATTTAATGTTCCAAAAAGATGCATAAAGAAGAAGGAATTGCCATATGATCATTCACCGCACTACCTTTTATTTATAATATAATCATTGTAAACCAAACAATCCATGTTAACTAACTTCTACGATAATGTATTCCAAATTAATAGCTCTAGAAGTGAAGATCAGAAAGAAGTCCAGATTTCATAACTGGATAATGCATCTGTATAGTTTACAAAAGTTACAGGTTAAAGTCCTACTCTGAGTTTTTCTTCCAGAATATTCCATTATTGAATTTAATTCTAAAATTAACTAAATTATTATTATTATTATTATTACAAAGTGACAACCTAACCACCTAGCTTTAATGCAAGTTATTCAGTCCCAATGATTATAATCTAGCTTGTAGAAATGCAGTTTATAGATACTTGGTTATTGAAAATATCTTTGCTTTCTGACTGTTTTCTGTCAGAAATTGTCTGCATAATAAAACAAGACTTTATTCACTGTAAAAAAAAAATATGTATTGTAAATAAATATCAAAATAAATTTCATTTACTTACCTTTCGGCTCTTAGCTTTAATTTTTCTGAACTATTAGAAAACTTTTTAGCTCTTAAAGCTAATCTCTGTAATAAAAAATAAAGTAATATTAAAAAACTTAGTTATAAACAGAAAGTATTAGTATTTATAAACAAACAAAAAAACATTTCATTTTTTAATTATAAAATTTTGTTTTTAATTAAATAAAAATAAATTTTTTTGAATTTGTCTACCCAATGGGCACTATGAGGGCTATTTTTCCACATCCGTAATGGGGCAGCCAGATGATGAAAGCCACAGGCCCAACATTAGGTCTTGGGCTGGTTGCATCCCAAAAATTTTTCACAGATAGCCAGTCCCATAAAAAATTCTTGGAATACTTTGTCTGCCCTAGTCCCAGAGCAGCAGCCAATATCTTTATTGCCCCAGCAATGAGGGCAAACAAGTGAATAACTTAAAACAAAAAATATAGTGGTCCCTCATTTAACATGAACAAAATCACTTGTTAAACAAATCTATTACTTCAATAGAATATTGGGTAATGATTTAAATAGAAGCAAACACTCTAAACAAAAAATTTTCATGTTTCTCTATCTAATTTCAAACTTTATTTATTTAAACTAATTTGTTAACTAAATTTCAAAATCATCAGTAATTTTAACATGAAAGTGTACAAAACATAACATTCTCTACTGGAAAACAAACAAACTGAGAATCGATTACCAATCTTACTCAATTAGGAGAAACTTAAATGATAAGCCAAAATCATCATAAAATAACGAATCATGCTAAAACGAATGTCAATATAAATAGCACAGATCATTTTTCAAACTGACTGACCTCAAACCACTGTTTTTAACTGTCAAATTCAACAAAAATCAAGTTTAAGTCTGTCTTTAATAGAATTTTTGTATTAATTGCAGCAGTTTGATTTTATAAAGTAAACTGATTAAATTTTGTTAATTAAATTGTTCGTTACATCAGAGTTTACTGAGTATAAATTGATTTAAATGTATAAAATTTTGATAAAAAATATTTCTTCCGAGAGATTTTTGTGAAAAACTAAACATAAAAACTGTCCATTAAATCTTAAATGTTTATTTAAGTTATATATTTCTGTAAAATGTATTTTGTAAATGTTTCACTTTATTTGAATGGATTAATAAATAATCTGTCAATTGTGAATGAGATGTGTCACTCTATCTCTATCTACCCCAACATTTCTCTTTCATAAAACAGTCTCCGTAAAATTTTTAGGTTGAGGTTTGCCAGGGTCAACTGTGCCTGATGTAATGTATTATGCAAGAACAGAGAGAAACTTTACATCATTGTAAACTTGGCTTATATCTCATCTAATCCCTTACATCAAGTGTGGCAAACTGTCACACGTAGAATATACAATTTTGATTTATCATCTGTCTTTTTCAATCAGCTTTTTTACATTTATTCTAATTACAGCATATTTGTTTAATTTATTTAAACATCATTATTTGAAGTATAAAACTTTGGCAAGCGTAAACATTTTTAAAGCTAAGTATGCTAACTATATGGCATGTGGGCTCAAAAAGGTTTCCCATCCTTACCGTAGATTTTTGTATTTGTGAATGGATGAAAGACCTTGCTTACATGGTAAAAGTGCAAACACGAGGAACTGCTTACCCATGTGTTATGAATGCACGCAGTTTGTGCACATGTCAAAAAGAGTTTAGAAGAACAAGGACCACCATTTCTAAACATTGTGCAACAATTATAATTTCATTAATAAATAACTTTTAAAGCTGGTTTTCACTATAACTATACACAGCAAAGTCAATATAAGATAGCCAGAATGACATCAAGCTGGTATAGAAATAACGTGTTCACAAATTAAATTAAAATTTAATTTTTTATTGCTGTTGCAGTTAAAGTTAAGTTTTGAATAATATCAAATCACCGTTTACAATGACATCATTCAATATCAAATTCATTGTCTCGATTTCCATCAAGTCATCTGAACTTTCCAATGTACCACATGGATGTGTCATCCAGTGGCATTCTGTGATAATGAGAATAACATGGATAAAATACAGTCAACTTAAGATGGCAAGTGTTGTTTAAGGCTACTTTTCTCATGCTATTTATCCTGGTCTATTCATATTGACGTTGATAATGATCCAGGATACATGTACCAAATTAATTTACAGATTTGCTCTTATGTTTTTAGAGTTGTAATTATAGATATGTTACCTGTTCTTGTGTCAGATTTTTTGTTGATGTTGCTATGACTTTCTTGGTAGCTACAGATTCTCCATTTTGATTTTCACTTTGTGCATCTTCTTTGGCTTTGTCCGATTGATCAGAAGAATTGTCGACAATCACGCTAGAATTCTGAATGGAATCTTGCGATATTGGTAGCAATTTTCTTTGTAATTTTGCGGCATTAGAATTCTGAAGTGTGTCTTGTACAATTGGTAATGGCTTCCGCTGAAGTTTTACTGTATTTTTTACAGGTATTATGTTATCGGTTGTGGTAATGGGAGATAAGATCTCTTCTTCGTTAATTTCCGGAGGTTCTGAACCTTTCTGTTCTTCGCCGTAAAGAACGTCATCACTAAGAACTTCGTCTTCATTAACATCATCGCCACCTTCTAGATTTTCCAATGCTAACAAAATCAAGATATTTTACAAATTAACAAGAAGTGATCAAATGCAAGGTAATTTTAAAATGTGCAAATTAAAAAAATTAATTTTAAGTCATCAATATAAAAAATTACCTTCTAAACAGTCTGAATTAATTCGATCTTCAACAGTTGACTGATCTAAAACAGAGTATTGAATGTAAATATTTAAAACAGGAATATATTCAAAACAAATTTAATATCTACTGAATATTATAACTATAATATAAAAGATAACATTTTCATCCTTAAGCGTATCTTATAACTCTTTCCTCTACTGAATTGTTAGATGGAGAGGAAGAACTATAAATCAAATTTCTGAACAGGATATCAAAGAGAAACTAAAGTGCTGTTCAGGAGACCGCAGGATGTAGAATAGAATCAGCAGGAAGTTGGAGTCAAACAAATGACTTAAAAGATCCATTCAGCAATCCTATAGTAAATAATTAGAAGTCTGGTATAGATCTGTGCAATAATGTCAATGCATACTGGTAATATTTATAAAAAAGGCCATCAATTTAATGAATTTCATAAAATTTTCTGCTACTACACTTTCTAAAATACTCACAAGAAGGGAGCAGCAACCAAATTAGTTTTGTTTCCTCTTCTTACTTGTGCATATAGATTGTGCTATTTAATGTCATTAAATACTGTAAGATAATACCAGACATATACACAATTAAACTGGTTGTTAGCTTTGCTTATTAGTTAGTTCACACAAGTGGCTGCTGAACACTTGCACACAGAATGTAACTTTAAATGAATAAGTATGCCAGAGTTTAACAAGAATACTCAACATTATGCTTATATAATATTCAAATGCACCTTAATATAGATTTATAGCATCATTCTCTTGATGCTAGCCACTAAGAGTTTTCGAAAATAAAAATAGAAATTTATCTCTAGAATATATCTGGGAGATAGAAAGAAATGAGTGGAAGAAGAGGAGAAAAATAAGTAGGAAAAGAAAAAAAAATAGGAAGAGAAGAAAGAAAAGAAAAAAGACAAGAGCAACAGGATAGTAGAAGGAGAAAAGGAGAAAGAAAGATGAAGATAGAGGATAAGAAACAGATCAGAATGAGCAATTATTTTATTGTGACATTGTCATAATGCCGGGCTGTACGTTTTCATCATATTTTTTAAATTTATTTCATTTAAAATGTATGCTCTCCTCCTCAAATTAGTAGTGTCTTGCCCTGTACATCATACTCTTCCTGTTAGCAATAGAGTCATGCTGGTCATCTATCTCAGTGGTCTCCAAAGTAGGGTAGGGGGTATGCCATGTTTTCCTTCAAAATACTGTATGTGTGTACTGTCCACAGTCTGTCTAATCTTACAGTCATCCTCCCAAAGAAGTAGGCTCACGATCACTTGCAATCATACACGAAAAAAATTCAAATTGAGGGTAGCAGGAAGTTTAGTGCAATTATATATTATATTATAGGGGATACAACTTAGATTATCTTCGTCTTAGGAGTTTGGAGATCATTGATCTATCTACCTCCTTTCAGGGGAAATTTTTGAATTGGAATAATGTGACTTATGATTGGCATTGGAAATTTGTTTATAGTTAACCAGGGCCCCTTATCACTAATCTTTCCATATCTGATCTCGGCTTCCATCCAACTAACTCCATTCCAGAGATTAAGGAAAATAGATAGTGGAAATTTAAAATCTACAACTTTTTCGAACTGCAGCCCAATGAAAAATAAGAAAAATAAAAAAGAAATAGTATAAAAATAAATGAAAACTGTCTAAAAATATTGTAAAATTGAAAAATTATTTATTGGTTTAAAAAATTTTGTTAAAAATTATAGAAATTATAAAAATGTAAAGTAAAAAAAGATCGATTAACCTGCAATGTATTCAAGTTAGCTATATGTGTTATTAAATAAAGATAAAACCATAGCATAAAAACAAATAAGTATTAGCTATAAGTGTTATAGAACTGTAAAAATTGTTATAACAAAAAGTAGTGTAAAAAAGATTATTGTAAATATAGTTAAATTAGTCACATTTCACTAAAAATGAACTGTAAAAACAAGGAGAGAAACCTACTAAAAAATATCATAATTATTATTTATTAATTATGATATATATATAACCTGTTGGAAACTTGTAATTGTATCATATGTTGTCACCACTTGTGCACCAGATGTGGACTGTTACACACCTCCCTTAACTACCGCTCCCAGCTCCTTGTTGTAAGCTGGCACCTGCAACTCATCTTACTGTTTTTGGTATGTACTGTACATTATCTGTCTGTATAACTTTAGTTCATAACTGTAAACCAATAATTGTCTAACTTATAACTGTTTCGTATTGGCACCCTGTACGTCACACCACCATGCAACATTATGAAGACCTATTGCACCTGTCTACACTGATAATGCTTACTGTTCATACAGTTTTAACGGCATTTTCATTTTTATATTGTATAGCTTTAGCCATAGTTTTAAGTTGACTGTTACCTTGTATAATTTTTAATATATCATTACCTTTAGTTAATACTAACTGATGAGGGATTATTTTCTATCAGGTAAAATGGTAAGATGAAGTAATGAAGATGACAAAGTACTGTAAGAGTGCATGCATGAGTGGAAAACTTTCTTTTACTACAAGTGTCTTTGAAAATAATGCATTAAAAAGGATTGTTGATAGTTTGTGTAATTAAAATTTTTTAAAACTTTTATTTATCTTATACAAGCATAAAAAGGCATGCCATTTGAAAATGTTAATTCACAAAATTGAATATTATGTTTTAAGTTGATGTAATTTAACAATAATATAATGAAAAGTAACAGAAAAATAAACAACCATGCATGCACCCATCTTAAGAAATTAAGTTTAAACATTACAAAAATTTGCTACAATGAAATTCAAAATAGACGGTATGTTATCTAAAAAATTAAATAAGTAATTTTGAAGATTTAATTATATGTAGTAATTGAATGTACATTTTCAAAAACAATTAACTGAGGAGGGGGCTTTGTAAGCCCGAAACGCGTATTAACTGAAATTAAATGAATGAATGAAAAACTGCCTGGTGTCTGATTAATCATACTCCATCATGCTAAAGAAATAAAAGAAAAAAGAAGAAACACAATTTCAAATCTACAAAGACATAGAGCAAAATAAGATAAAGGAGAAAGAAGAATTTTTTAACGTAAATGAATGTACAGTAGACCCCTATAAAATGGGTTCATATAATATGGACTCGTATATAACGGCAAAAAAAATTGTGATCGTATTCGTATAAACATACTAAAAGAGACTCGTATGATACTGTAAAATGTCATTGCCGAGTCGTGTCATGACAGGATTGGTCGAATATAGACCAATAGTGGATATTGCACAAACCGTTGAATTTAAATGAGCAGTGGACCTACTAAAAACCATTTATTATTTAATGACCATAAAAATTATATTTATATTAATGATGTCTCCAAAGTTCAGCAAATATTTCGCAAAAAATAATTTATTAGGAAACACGTGCCCGCCGTTCAATGCGCTTCTCCATGACAAAAACAAGTTTAAGCAATGGCGTCATTGAACGATGCACACTTGTTAAGTAATCCTATAATTTTTTGTTTATAGCATACTTTATATGGATTATTCCCCAAAAATTATATGTGTTTTGGAAATGTTGAGTCAAATTAGTCTAGAATCGATTAATTTTATGGAAGAAAACCTTTCAAACAGCCGTAGTTCGTAAACTGCATACATGCCGGGCTGTGATTGGCTCGTGTATTAAGGACTCGTACAATATGAATTTCATAAAACACGGAATGTATCTACCGTGTTATAGGGGGTTCTACTGTACTTAATAATACAGTGCAGAAGTTTTATAGTAATCTTCCAAGAAATGATTCCTACTTCATGTGAATATCAATCCTACATTTATATTTAATCGCACATAATCAAACCACACATGTTATACAAACTTCAAAACGTTGACATTCAAATTTGTAAAATTAACTGAATTTTAAACTTTTGGATCAACAAAAAAAATTTTTTAAATACCTTTTGTTAGACCAATTGCCGTCTGTAATCTTTCTACTAGATCATTTTTATTTCCAGTCACGGTGAGACCACGTAATTTCAATTCTTTTTTTAATTCCGCTACCTGTAAATGAATTTTAAAACATTATAATTAATCATCATGACAGTAAAATGCAATAATCATGATATTTATACTTAAAGACCAACTGAATATATTAAAATTTGAAAAATTAAGTTACTTTCAGCAATTAAAAAATATCTAATTTCACTCTGTGATATTAGACTACAAAGAGAGAAAATGAATCAATGGTGAGATGGAAGGAATGTGTATTTAAATGGTGTGGGTGTAGAGTATACAGTAAGATCTCATTTATGTGGCCCCCTTGTATAGAATTTATGTCCACTTAAGTGTAGGGTGACAAAATTGACAAACAAAACTAATTATATTAGAGTTACTAATGTAGAATATAAAAGTAAACAAATAATAATATTAAATTTACATGATATACAATTACAATTACATAATATCTTTTGCAATATACAGTAATTCAAACTTATACAAGGTAATGTATTAATGCTGAATAATTCAGTGAATGCAAGTTGTTTACAAGTTGTCTACTTCATTCAAATAGTGTACTGTACAGTATAGATACAGTGGCTGTACATCCTTTATTTAAGAGGACAATCCTTTATTTCACTGCTCTGCCCTTTAACTTTATTTATTTTCTAAAATAAGCATTTTGTCCTTTATTTTGTAAAGTTGACGCAAAGTTTAAAAAAAATTCTTTTAATAATATATTGAACAAGTTAGTTTTGTATACGCCATCACGACCAGTGTCGCATTGCTACATAGAGCGCAGTAGTGCAGTGCGTCGCCAACCAAACGGCCCACTGACAGTACCAGGGGGTGGATACTCTTATGGAGATTTTTGTGATAGTTTTTTAACTCTCTAGTTGGTGGATGATACACTTGTTAATTAAAGCTGAAGTTAGTTGAAAGAAAAAATGAGGGGTTTCTTCCTATTGTTATTAGAAAAGCGGTTTTAGCATTAGAAAAATCAGAAAATATACAAGCCAAAAAATGTAATGATGCTGTGAACACATTTTATCAAATGTGCATAGATTATCTAAATAATTGGGACATGTTTTTTATTGAAATAGAGGTGTTTGAATGGGTCACATTATGCGAAATCTCTTTGTGGGCGAAAGTAGAGGAAAGCTATATCTTTATTTCGAATCATTGGTCCGTAAATATACTCGACGGTGAATTATTTGATGAAGTTTCATGTGTAAAAAAATATGTCACAAACGAAAAGATCGACGAATGGTGATAGAATAACCAGCCTTGCCATCAAAGGTGGATTGAGATTTTTGAACATTTTACAGCAAAAGAAATTGTTTTCAAAAACATTTGTAAAATCGTAGAATTTTCTTTGTCTCCCTGGATCTAATGCCCTGGTTGAACAAATATTTTCATTGGTGAATAATATGTGGACTAATGAAAAAACTGATTTAAAAGTAAGCACATTAGAAGAATGTATTTCCATCAAACACAACTTTCAAATTAACTGTATGAAATTTTATGACTTTAAAGCGTGAAACGGCGCTATAAAAAAAAATTAATTCTACTGAAAAGTATCAAAATTAATGTTGTTTAAATTTTTACAATGTGTGTATGTGTAATAATTCTGATTGTTTAAAATTTTAATGTATGCATTGTTGTATGCTACTATTTTTGTAATAAATGTTATAAACTTATGAATTTTATAAGGTATTTTTTGATTTTCTTTGATATGTCCTTTATTTTCCCCCAAAAAATATGGTCACTATAAGTATAGAACTAAACAGAATTGTTTAATACCCATAGATGAAAGCAGTATGTTTATGAAATGGTAGTAAAGGTTTGTTTAAATAGCACATTTTAAGAAGAGAATTTGAAAAATAAATTTATTAAATAGACATAACTAAATATGCAAATGTGTCCAAGCATCAGAGTAAGCATTTGAGAATTAAATAGGCTTTTGTCAGGGACACTGATATATTTTCACCGAGTGTTGTGAATAATGTTGACTGATCATCGCTGAATTATAGTTATATTTTTACAAAATACAACCGGATTTTGTATAAAACTGTCTTCTTTCTTGCTAAATTCTGGAGGTAAATTCAAGTGTAAATGAAAATTTACTTTATTTCATTGCCGTCTATCAGAGGGATCTTGGCAAACTATTCCAAAACCATACTGATAAAGTTCAATTCCATTTAAAGAACTTTAGACAGTATAATAAGTTTGGGAATGCAGGGTTTTCCTGTTCTGTTGGTCATGTAAATGGGGAGAAGTATCGCTATGGGATGCTCCTGTTGGTAACTTAAGTGAAGATGAGGTGACCGATATCAAGTTTGACTTATATTAAAATTTATGCAGTTTTATACAGGAATTTTGAGGAGTGACAACA